AATTTAGATTTTAATAATAAATTAATAAAAAACAAATAAATGTGACTTTGATTTCTAGTAAGTGTTTGACGAACGAGCCTAGACTACTTTATAAATCAATGGGGGATGGAAGTGTGATGAGGAAAAATGAAGAGTGTGTTATGAAATGTTTAAATTTTCACCATTTCTTTCGCTTAAAAATTGATTTTGTCATGACTAGATACCCAATTAAGATACAAAAAGTGGATTAACTTAAAATAAAATTATGATAATATAAGAATAGAATATAGTGGAGACATAACTGACCAAAATACATAATGAGCAGTCCAACCTCCACAAGTAATCTTCTCTTAGAAGCTCCCCAAGGATGGGGAGCACCCTCGCAAGTATTCCCCATTTAAAGATGAAAGGGCACAAATAGAATTTCAACACATAGCCTAAATTTTCATTCATTAAATAACAATATTATAAGTCATTAAATGGAGTATTTATCTCAAGAGAGAAAATAGGAGTAAACATAATAAGTATAAATGAAGTTTGAACGGCTAAATGTAGTTTTTAAAAGCCACACATATCAACACTTATGCCATAAACCATACATCCTGGTGTAAGAAGAACAACACAAGGAGATATACTCTCCCAAATGTTCCAATTGCTCGATGACATGCCGTTTAATCTCAGCATCCTCATCAAGCATTAACTAATAATGAAAAGCCGTTTAATCTATGAACGCAGTGTAAGACAGTTAAGATGCTCATGGTCCACCAGATTTATAGCCGTTTAATCTTAGCATCCTCATCAAGCATTAACTAATAATGGTGAAGATATGGATGAGCATATTCATTACAAACTTTATCGCATGCAAGATGTTTTCCAATAGGGGTAACTCATTAGAGAGCTCATATGGACAAATCACCCAAAATTCAAAAAAAAAAAAAATTACTTACCTAGTGAGATGAAACGAGACCTGACATGCTCAAAATAACTAGTTCATAAACAAAATGTTCCAACTCTTGACAGCGAATAATATTGAAGGTTTTCTTTGTCTGGAGGGGTAGAGGACTATTGAGAGTTATTGAACGGCCTGCTTAGCTTTTAGTTGAATTCAACACAATGCATTTGCCTTAAAATTTGAATACATACATATTAAATCATCCAATGTGTATGATGCCTAGGTCAAAGAGCTATAGCCTAAATAAGGCATGTGTCATGTCCATAGGGAGAACTTCACATTATATGTACTCGGCATAAATGATGAACAAAATCGGGCCAATAAAGCACTAGGAGGCAAGCACTGATGTCTCATCCACCCATTAATATGTTGCAAGGTTCGGGGTGAGCTTCATCTTAGCCAATGTAAAGATAGCAACTTTCGTGCAATTATCATTGTTAATGATCAATTTTGCACTACAAGTCGCTACCTTTGAAGCCTGAAAAGTAATGGTATGTCACTAGTTCATGCCCAAATAGGGGTGGTATGAACACAGTGCAAGACAGTTAAGATGCTCATGGTCCACCAGATTTATCCCTTGATCATTGGGTTAATTCCGATTAAGAATTTCAATGATAGCAATAAAGTATGGCATAGTGGCCTATTTTTCCACATGAAAAGAGTGTAATGTTGGAAGCTTTGAAACCAAACGTTCCAACAACACCCATTTCCTTAGGATTGGTGGATCACTTAGGAGCACAAGGCAATTGTTGAGACAAATGGGTTGTAACTTCTAGAAAAAGTAAAGAAATTTCTATAAGACTAAATTCAATGGTACTCTACTCAATTTGTATGGTAGAATGCATCTTCAAAAATTTAGGTCTCTCGGCTGAGGAACACTTGGCAAATGTCTGCATGCAATCTAAAAGAAAAAAACCTTGAGACAATGGTTTGAGCAAATCATAAGCTCAATAAATGAAGCCAAGTAATAGGCAATGGACATAAATCATTATTGTAAAAAAGTCAAATCATTAAGGTATTGTATTGTATGTTTCATTGTATCTTTCACCCCATCCCATGATGTAATGGGTGGAACATTCAAGAGATAGAACTGCTGCTTCACATTGACCCAATAGGCCTTAACACACCATTTTAACTTCATGCAAGCAAATATAATTTGTAAATCTTCAAATATGGCCATCTAAATGAAATATCATTTTACTATCCACGAATCAATCCATTAATACATTCGAAAACAGGTGACCAGTAAGAGAAAAGTGTTCCGCCTTGACTTTATGGGTGATGATATCATCAAATCTCACTCATTATGGTGTGGAGTGATGTAATAATAACCTAAACTATAAGAAACCTCTTCATAGTATTGTTGATATCATTTACATGGCATTGGACAAGGGGCCTTATAAGCCATTCAGCCTGTCAAAATGGCAATACAACACAATGTCCAAATCAATCATGATAACCATCCAAATGTTTAACAAGATTTTCTCAAGCCCTGAAATGGAAAGGGGAAGTACAAGAAAGTGGAGGGATTGGTTTTGGAGGTTGAATTTTTCACCATCATCATCATTGGATGTCATTTAAGTCATATAAGATTTGGATTGAAGCCTAAGAAGTATTTTAAAAATTATCATGTGATTAACTAGCTCATGGGAAATAATGTCATGCCCTTTAATTGACCAAATTAGTAACCATAATAACCATCCAAATGTTCAGCTAAATTTCTCTATTCAACAAGCTCTTGAAGGATTGGACCCATCACTCTAAAGTTCAATCCATGAAGAACAATGCAATCTCACCTTAAACAAGCTAAAGGCTTCTAAAACTACAAAACAGGAGAAAAGATATAGCCCTCAACATTCTAGCCACTCTTGCATCACGCAAGGCTTTAACTTTCTTGATTCTCTCGCCACACACAAGGACTTAAACGTTCTCATAACTCTGCCTTTGACATATGAAGCTCCCAAGGACTCATGCTCCCAACATTAGGTTTGCGCATTTACAATTGAGGACGAAAAAAATGAGGGCGAAAGAGAAGAGTGTGCTTTAAAAGATAATGTTAATGACAATGAAGGAGATGAGCTAATTGGATTATGATGATAATGATGATTCACTAGATGATTGAGTACTTAAGTTTAACCATCAATTTAGTTGTTCACATTACCATGATAGTTTATTTTTCAATCTAGTAATGTTTCCAATTTAGTTGCATTTTTATCCACAATTTTTTCAATATCATACTATTTATAACATAGCATTTGATATGCCATGCGATATGGCCCCAATAGCACATTTATGATATGATGCACTATTCATCGTTAATAAGTATGATTTTGGTGTGGTTAGTCAAAACTAGAAAAATATAAATGATTTTGGTGCGGTTAGTCAAAACTAGCAAAATATGAATTCTAATTTTAGTAAGGGGTCTACAAGATTATGCCCTCAAAATGATACACAAATGCAACGAACCTTTAACCAAAATAAGTTGGATGTGTAATGAACCTAATGAAGTGGCAATACATGAAAATCATTGTATTTTGATAAAAAAAAGCTGATCAAATATCAAGAATAGCAAGCATCCTATCCAAAAATTATAATGAAATTCAAATAAAGAGAACAAACGATAGCAAGCAAAAACGTTTTATGGCAACTAAAACAAGGATCAACTTTCATTGACACCAAATGAAATATGCACTGCATTAAAACTAATTATTTGATCATAATAACCACCGCCTGAAGATTAGTGAAGAGGGATAAAGAGTGATAAATTTAGAAAAAGCACAAAGGAAACAATGAAGTTAATACAAAAATAGATTATGGAGACTTGAACAGCCAAAATTCTTAACAATGATATCAAAGATGACCTGCATCAGAAGTCCTTTATTGTGAATGTTGCTCCTTTCTTGGAATTCATCCAAAGTAACACACTCACATTCACAAGTACTCTTCACTTGAAGGCGGAAGAGTAAAAGGAGAATTTTCAGAATGTAACCAAATATTTTACTTACTAAACAATGTTGCATGAGTCATTAAATAAGACATGAGAGACGAAACCAAGATTGGTTGGTCAGCCAAGGCTTGACTTGAGAAGGGGAAAAAAATGGAGTACTCATGATGGGAGATTTTAAGAGCTACAAGTAGAATTCAAGAATTCACAAATGGAGTACTCATGATGGGGGATTTTAAGAGCTACAAGTAGAATTCAAGAATTCACCCAAAGCACACTTAAATTCTTATATTTTATAAAAGAAAGAAGGGGCTAGAGGCTTCAATGAAGAGTGAGAGAGAGGAGAGAGTGTTGTTGATTAAAAGAGAGGGAGAGAGAATTGGTTTGACTTCACACCATACACGAAGTCCTCACAATAGAAATATCACTAGATATAAAAGACATGGTATAGACCCTTGAAACACAAATCTAATAAACAAAGTGGTAAGGAAAACAACAATACACTGCATCTAAGTTTAATTACGATATTTAAAAATCTATGATGATAAAGGCTTTCAAACTCTTACTAGAAGTAATTGTGACAGATAACAACTTTTATTGGGAAAAAAAGAACTATTATTAAAGAAAAAATCTCATATACACCCATCCAAATAGCCTCATAAAAAAGTATTGATTGAGAGAACATGGAGATTTGGTTGAAACAGTAATTCTCCAACAAAAGAAATGAGAATGTTGGAATTCAAATTACCAGTTAGAAAACTCAATATGTGGTTTCCACCCAAGCAAACACCTTAAAGATCAAAAACAACAGGACTTCAAGACATAAAATCTCATTCAACAACTTTCCAATAAAAATATCCCATAACAAACAACTAGCATTGATCTACTAAAATAATTTATTAGACACTCACCTACAGAGAACAAGCAGCTTCTTGCCTTTGATACCATAAATGTTTAGAAAAAATAAAAAATAAAACACAAATCCAGTTAAACCAGATCAGCATAGCTAAAGAGATTTGATAGCTTTCATGCGGTATATGATAAACTATTCTTCAAAAGTAAGGAAATGATGGAAATGTGCTGGTAATCAAATTTAACCAAGAAAAAGTCTGAAATAAGTCTTACCTCTAGATCACAAAACTCAAACCAAGGGCAGAAATCTATGATTTCACAAACAAATACGAATACCACCTTTTCACGCAAAAGAAAGCCTGCATCAGATTCGAGCATATCCGACACCTTCATAAACTGGAGGAAAGAATTATTCCTTGCTTCGGTAGAGATAGAAGATTCTTTCTGCACAGTTTTAGCAGGGTTCTTCTGGTTAACCACAGCCATTGTATACTCTATACTGAACCCAATAATTTTTATCAGGATCACTACCAGCTGATTGATCACTCTCCAAATATATGCATATTGTATCAAAAGATTCATAGACACCTGTGCAAAGTTTCAAGCAAGACTTTTTAGAAGTGTAATTGACTAATTGTGTAACATACTCATATATTACTTATTGGATAAAAATCTACCTACCTATTCTCAGCTCACAAGCACCAGCTTGAAAGAATTTACTGAAGATCTTCCGAGTTTCCATGATTTCCTTGAAGGATAAGAAGTTCTCCACCCTCCAAGTGAATGCACCCCTTTTTGAAATGTTATCAATTTGAGTACAAGAGGTCATTCCAGAATTTGACAAGGACTCCGCATCACAGTATTCTTGCATTATCGAAGTTTCCTTCAATATAAGAACCTCAGCTGAGAACACAACTGTGTCCTGGACAAGAAAACCAGATTCCTGATCAAAAAGGCTAGTCAAGGTAACAAATTCACGCCAGCCCCAATCCTTTGCTGCCTTGGAATAGCGATTTTGTGATTCCTTGGTCAATGATTTCTCTTCCATTTTCTGATTCACAACTGAAAGCCGGTGACTCACAAAGCAACTCCAATCACTGGTTGTGTTCCGAGAGTCAGTGACCTCAAGGAAAACTGAGAGGTGGCATGGCGGTTGTGACTGACCTGAAGCATATCATAAAAAGAGAATAAACAACTAGTTGAATTATGATACTTTTCTACCATGACAATCTTATATCATTAGAATCTTTACTAGGTTTCATTACTAAATCAAACATCAAGAAAATATTGAAAAAAATACTATTTTCACCTTTCCTTCATTAAAACTGGAAACACTTCAGGCGACCAACATTGTATTAATTATGTCAAAGCTACTAAAGGCATTATCAATTGCTATTTCACAAATGTAAATCATATTTCACGAATGTGACTCAGATAATGCACATAATTACTGAAACTTTACGTAAGGAAAGAGGGTTCCTTATTTTACTATACTGAGCAAACAAATGCTACAATAATTGACATGGAGATGCAAGTGGAGTTGAATACTTTACCCCTGGGATAAACTATGAGGCGACAGTCCCTGTTGCCAATTTGGAACCTCCTGCTTTTCACACAGAGTCCAGTGATCTTCCTCTTCTTTAGTAGGTCCTTCAACCGAGTAAAATTCTCAATCCTCCAGGTGAACTTACCGAAATGGCCGTCTGACTTCCTTGCAGAGACCCTTCCCCCAAGCATCAAACCAGGGTTCTTGGAGAAGCTACACGACTCTTTGATGACATGGAAGGAGGTGCTGAACACTGCCGCCTCATCAACAAGATAGCCAGCCTCATGGTCCAAGAATTCAGACATTCTCATGAAATCGTTCCAGCCAAGGCTGGTATTGTCCCCACACTTACTGTCAGCCGCAAAGCGGCCGTAAGAGTCGCGGTGAATATGGTTGGTTCCAGCGGGGCGTTGGCTCAACACGGACATCCGAAAAAGGCACCAGCAACTGCGGTCAGGGAGAAGGGTTTTGTCCGTGTCCTTGCTCTCCAAACACATGGAGAGATGGTCTGCACCGGATACAGAGCTCTGGTAGACGCTGATTCTAAGGTTGCAGTCACCGGCAGGGAAAACGGGGCTCATTATCTTCTGTGTCTTTATCATGTCACGGAAGAGACCGAAATTGTGGACCTTCCACGAGAACTTGCCGCTGAGTACATCAGATGAGGAGGAAGAAGAGGAGGAAGGAGAATCGAGAGATGCAGAACCAGCACTGTCTCGGGAGAAGGAGACGGACTCGTGGAGGAGAAGGATATCAGCTGTGATGAGAAGAGAGTCAGATGGGGAAGAAAGGAACCCCGCTCGAGGGTCGAGTATGGCGGACGAGGGGGTGAAGTCGCACCACCCATGGGATTTCTTTTTGGAGGAGAACCGATGCCACGAGTCGCGGGTGATGGATTTAGAATCGTCTTGGTGGTTGACGACAGAGAGTCGGTAGCTAGCGAAGCAGTCCCATTTGGAAGAGGAGGAACCTCGTGGGTCGACGATCTGAAGATAGACGGAGAAGTAGCCTGGTAGGGCCTGTGAGTCCCCTTTTGGGTAGATTAAAAGGCGGCAGTCGTAGCCCCCGACCTCAAAGTAGCGGCTCCAGAGAGCGCGTGCCTTTGCGCGAGGAAACTGCGCCACCGACCACCGACACAGTACCGAATGCTCCCCTCGTCTCTCCACCCACACCGACTCCTGTCCGCCGCTCTCCCTTCCCGCCCTGACCTGAGCAGCCGCCGAAACCGGGCGCGCGCACCGTGTGCTTCCTGGCCCGCAACTGCAGCAGCCTGGCGCGTCTCGGCGAATTCCCAGGCCTCCGCCTGCCGAACATCCTGTACGGCTGGGAATAGGGAGGCGGGTGACGATAAGGACTCGGAGGAGGACGCGAGCTTCATCTAGTAGAAATGGATGAATCAAGCCGGAAAATCTCGCTCCGCCGCCACCGCTGAATCTCCACCCTCCTTCGAGCTCTCTTTATTCTGCAAAGGGGAGAGCTTCGGGCTCGTTCGGCATCGGGAGGGGCAGGACCAGGGAGAAGGTAGATGGTATTGGAAAGGGGGGAGAGAGAAACAAAACTAGACGATAAATTAGAAAGACGTGATGGTTCTCATCTAATTTTGGATCCAACCGTCCATCTTCTAAGGGCTTTTAGGAGGCTGCTTTGTCCTTCTATTTCCATTTATACGTGGTCAGGGTTTACACCTCATTAGAGACTATCTCTTTAGAAACAGCTGTGAAGTTGTTTTACCAATGGATCGAAAGTAATATTGATCAGGCTATCAACAAACTATCTAAACAGCAATGCATCACTACCGTGTTACAACAATTGGCTCTGATGAGCAATATGATAAGTAGTTGCAATATATTTGAATAATTCTTGAAAGTAATATATTTGGATAATTCAACGGTGAAATTATTGTGACGAGGTTGTTTCTAAAATGAAAACTATAATGCCCCTGCAGAATATGGTTATTGATACGTCACCAACAAATTTTCATCAGTCAGCACGAATCTCGGTGCAATTTTTTAAACAAGAAACATTCAAACTTCTATTAAGAGTCATCCAGAGCTCCAATTTCAACAAACTTAAGCGGTCGACAGGGTCTTCACTCAAAGACCTCAGAAGGCTACAAGCCTCATAAGGCACAGATACATCAAAGACCTCGGCACAGATACACTTAAAGACCTCAGAAGGCTACAAGCCTCAGAAGGCACAGATACATCAAAGACCTCAGAAGGCTACAAGCCTCATAAGGCACAGATACATCAAAGACCTCAGAAGGCTACAAGTCTCAGAAAACACAAGTGCATAAAAATTCCTCAGAAGGCTACGAGCCTCAGAAGAACTTTACACAATTAAGAAGCCACAACAACCGTGGAAGCAACAAAAAAATACATTGTTATCATGTACAATTGTCACATCAGATGATTAAAAAGACTACAGATACCAACACATACATGTACAAGGGCTACAACAAATCAGTTCATCGTCAATTAGAGTTGGCATCGCCTTCCGTCGGCATCGCCTTCCTAAAATTGCATCGCCTTCCTAAAATTCCAGTATTTTTGATGATCGTTAAGGGGTATCCAGATATCATCACCGCATAAGCATGAAAATTCCCCTCTCATGGCGAGGGGAGAAAACTACATCATTTTTTCATCACTTTCAGAACTTGCCAGCACGAGAATCTCCTTCGGAATATGCGACGCTCCATCACAACGTGTCTCGTGGTCGCGACGCCCCGTCACAAAGCGTCGCTGCAACACCCCGTACTGACGCTCCGCCGCAACGTTTCGCCTCAACTCTTCGCCGCAACATTTCGCCGCAACAATTCGCGGCAATATTTTGTCGCAACATGTCACCGCAACACTTTGCTGCAACTCTTCACCGCAACTCTTCGCCGCAACACTTTCCCGTAACATTTAGCCGCAACGTTTTGTCGCAACGCTTCGCCGCAAATCTCCACTGTAACAAGAAAGAAGATCTCGTTGTTTATCTGCTACGCAGAACGCAAACGTCTTTCTTCTTTCGGGAAATCCCGGATTACCTTCTAGGCAGGGACGGGGACTCCACCTTTTTTCTCCTCTCATTTGTCTATTTATAGAGTCATAAAAAAAACAGTTAATTTATTTAAAAAAAAATTATTTCATATTCCTTCAGTTTTTTGACCTTTTAAATTCTGCCTTTATGACTGAAATTAATTAAAATTAAAATACCAATAAATTAATAAAAAACTCTTCATATTTTGTGATTTAAAAAAATATAAATACATTTAAATATCTATTTTTATTTAAATCCTGCTATTCAGTGCATCAGCTGACCCACCATTCATTTTTTAATGCTTCAGCTCCCGCAACACAGCATTTGGCCCAATGACAACCCTTCAGCTCCCACAGCATTCGATCCAATGAATCCCGCTTGGCATCGCCTTCAGAACTTGCCACGCCCCGCCTACAAATACCAACATATACATGTATAAGGGCTACAACAAATCAGTTCATCGTCAATTAGAGTTGGCATCGCCTTCCTAAAATTCCAGTATTTTTGATGATCGTTAAGGGCTATCCAGATATCGCCACTGCATAAGCATGAAAATTCCCCTCTCATGGCGAGGCGAGAAAACTACATTATTTTTTCTCACTTTCAGAACTTGTCAGAGCAGCACGAGAATCTCCTTCGGAATATGCGACGCTCCATCACAACGTGTCGCGTAACCGTGACGCCCCGCCGCAAAGCGTCGCTGCAACACTTCGCCGTGACGCTCCGCCGCAACGTTTCGCCGCAACTCTTCGCCGCAACATTTCGCCGCAACAATTCACGACAATATTTTGGCGCAACATGTCACCACAACACTTTGTCGCAACTCTTCACCGCAACGTTCCGCAACACTTCCCGTAACATTTAGCCGCAACGTTTCGTCGCAACACTTCGCCGCAAATCTCCACCGTAACAAGAAAGAAGATCTCGTTGCTTGCCTGCTACACAAAATGCAGACGACTTTCTTCTTTTGGGAAATCCCGGATCACCTTCTAGGCAGGGACGGGGACTCTACATTTTTTCTCCTCTCCTTTGTCTATTTATAGAGTCATAAAAAAAATAATTAATTTATTAAAAAAAAATCATTTCATATTCCTTCAGTTTTTTAACCTTTTAAATTCTGTCTTTATGACTGAAATTAATTAAAATTAAAATACCAGTAAATTAAAATAAATTAATAAAAAACCAGTAAATTAAAAAAAAACTCTTCATATTCTGTGATTTAAGAAAATATAAATACAGTTAAATATCTGTTTTTATTTAAATCCTGCTATTTAGTGCATCAGCGGGCCCACCATTCATTTTTTAATGCTTCAGCTCCCGCAACATTGCATTCGGCCCAATGACAACCCTTCAGCTCCCGCAGCTCCTTCGGATTCGACTCAGTTCAGCTCCCGCTGGTCCCGGCCAAATTCAGCTCCCTCCGGGTCTCAGACGGGTGGCCTCCTACCCGGTGTGGCCCACGAGTCAAGTTTTTTGACTTTCAGGTCTCGGCCCGATTTACAGACCAAACAAAAAAGATGTATAAATATATATGTTTTGGGTGGGATTTGATCTCACGGCACCTGCAAATGACAAAAATCACATACCAACTAAGTTAGTCTTAATTTGTTATACGTGAAGGATAAACAACAATCTTACATGCATACAAATGGTGATAAACTATTCATTCTTTATGTCTTACAAAAATACAAATAATAATAAACTATTTATTCATTTACTTATTAATATTTTCGGACGAAAAAAAAAAGTTCTCGCCCGAAAATAGGGAGACAACTGATACGTCACCAATAAATTTTCATTAGCCAGCACGAATCTCGATGCAATTTTTTAAACAAGAAACATTCAAACTTCGATTAAGAGTCATCCGGAGCTCCGATTTCCTTGATATGAAAGTTAGTCAGTCTAATCCGAGTCAAATCAAGCCTGGATCAAATTATTAAAAAAATCATTAGAGGATTTTCGGAGGCAATTGAAAGGTCAAACGGATGTCGAATCTAGCGAGTTCATTGTCGAATCAAGCGTCTCGACAAGATGAATCCAACGAGCTCAAGATTGCTCAACTCCAATATCGTTAAGGCACTCAAATGTTCATCAAACGTCATCTGATCAAAGGAATCTCTCTGTATCGTCCCATCAAAATCTCTCCGTATCGTCCTATCAAAATGGTTCATATTCCTGCATTAATTGCACTTAAAAAACTATAAATAGAGCCTACTCTTCACATGAAAAGGAGGAGGCTTAAGAGAGAACTTGAGGCTTTGAGAAGGAGCTCAAGTCCAAGATCATCATCGCCATCGTCGATCGCCGACGACCACCACTGACCGTCAACAACCACCGGTGACCGTCCATCACCGACCGTCATCGATTGTCGTCAAATACTGTCGATCACCGCCGACCTCCATCAACCACCGCTGACTAGACGTCGTTGGTCAACGTTGTAATTTGGAAAACTAGTAACCCTTTCTAGTCAACGTTGTAATTTGGAAAACTAGTAACCCTTTCCCGCCTGTGGGAGAAAAGACATTTGTAATCAACAACTTATAGTGGATTTTTACAATTGGGCAGGCCCCGTGGGTTTTCCCCTTTACGGGTTTTCTAGATAAAAACTTCTGGTGTTATCACAACTTATTCATTTTCAACTGAGAATGTGTTGAATCTTCGTGCAACGCTAAGACGATAATTCATTACTCCGCCGTGAATTTTCTAGCACACATCAGTTATAAATGTACATTTTCATAAATAATTCATACCAAACAACTAAACCAAACTACAAATTATTACAAAAAAGACTGAAATATAAAATATTACATTAAAAATTATATATCACAAAATCTTAATAAATAACACAAAAATTGCAATTAAAATAAGAATAAGTAATACAATTATAATATTAGTCTTCATTTCCAAACAATTAAACCTCTTGAAAACTTTTCTTTTCAAAGACTCTCCACACATTATAAATAGAGAGTACAACTTTAGCCAAAACCAGATCAATCTCATCAAATCCATATTTCAAAACAAAAGCACATAGTTCTTATGTATTTACATGCATAGCTAGGGGAGTCCATTTGGTTTGTTTTACATGCATAGCTAGGGGAGTCCATTTGGTTTGTTTGGATGTTTTGGATAGTAAATTTGTAACACCAAATGGTATTGGATGTTTAAAACATTAATCTGAATTGACCAAATAAAATGTGCAACCGACCCAACCAAATAATAGTTTGGTTTGTTTATTTTGCTTTGTTTCTGGCTAAACCAAAATTACTTGTAAACCATAAAGTAGTACTCATATTTATGTTTTCCTTTTTTAGAGCTAATTGGACAATTGTATTTATGAAATATATATTAATAAAATAAACTACTTTTTTATATTTAGTACATAAGTTATCAAAAAAACACTGTCATTATCGGTCCCAAGCCCGGATGTGAAAAGTGGAGGGGTGTGTTAGGTGGGCGGCAGCCAGTGTAAAACTTGTCAAACAAAATCATGACATGAATCCATTTGATCTTTGTATAAGTGTTAGGGCGTCCCCTAGAAGTGACACGTTGTATATTTTGAATACTGTGAAAAGTGTGCAAAGGTCATTACACCGGCTTTCGGGTGTAGTGACAATTAAGCAAGGGTTTCCACACTACGGACGGATGAGGGTAAAGAAGTTAGTCCATAAAACTAATGAAACATAAAACTAATGACCATAAAACTAATGAAATTAATATTATGATAGGATCTTGAAATATAGACACTCTCAATGGTAAATTAATGGAATAATTTGATATTATGCTTCATTGAAAGATTAATATCTTGTGTATTCAAGAAATTAAATGGGTTGTAGAAAAGGCTAAGGAGATTGATAACTTAAGTTTTAAACTTTGGTATTATGGTAAATGGTAAGAGTCACACTTAAGAGTCACACTAGAAATGGTGTACGTGTAATTATAAATAAGAGTTTGAAAGATAATGTGGTAAAATTAATAGAGTTGAAGATAGAATTATAGCCCTTAAGGTGCTCCACAAGTATGTTTAGATATAGGGTCTAAAGATAAAGTCTGGAATGACTTAGAAAACTTAATACAAATGATACCTCTTGAAGAAAGAATTTTTATTGGAGGAGATTTAAATGGACATGTCGGTAGAGTGGTAGAATATTTTAGAATTATTCATTGCTACGGTTTTAGAGTGACTAATGAAGAAGGTGGAGCTATTTTAGATTTTGCTTTAGTGTGCGATTTTGTTATTACTAATACTTTATTCATGAAAAGAGATGAGTATCGTATTACTTATAAGAATGAATATAATAAAACACAAATTGATTATTTTCTTATGAGAAGAAGAGATCGTCGAGATTGTAAAGATTGTAAAGTCATTCCAAGTCATTCCAAGTTTCAAGTGAAAATTTAAGTACCCAACATTGTTTATTAGTTTTGAATTTTAAGATTAAGAGTTGTAAAAAAAAATACTAGGACTCATCATCATAGTATTAGATGGAGAAACTTAAAAGACACAAATAAAGTTTTTTGTATGAGTAAAATTCAAGATTTCAAAATTTGTGATATTCATGAAGATGCAAATGTTATGTGGGATACAGTAACAAACTCTATTAAACTAGTAGCAAAAGATGTGCTTTGACAATAAAAACAAAAAGTTTTTATAAATAAAAATAGATGGTAGTGGAATAATAATGTGCAAAATAAAATAAAATATAAGAAGTTATCTTATAAAAATTGGTTTAAATGTAAAAGCTTAGGGAACTGGGAAAAATATCAAACGACCCGCAGGAAATCTAAAATAACAATATGTGATGATAAAAATTCTGCTTTTAATGATCTCTATAATAAATTAGATACTGAGGGTAAAAAATATATGTATAAACTAGCCAAACAA